GGAGGAAAAGAACCAGTCAGTAGACCCTGAACACCGCCCTATGGAACGCTGCCATTTCAAGTCACTCTGATTACCGTGATTATTTCTATGTACAGATGACATTTCGTAGTATAGTTTAGACCATAAGTTCAAGTGCCTACAATTATACGCTTTGAGCTCAGGCTTAGAAATGTTAAAGTCTCTGGTGAGTAATCTTACCCGACTAATTCACACGTAAATGAGCTACCCACGCTCTACTCTTTACCGAGTGAAGAAACAGGCACCACGAAGGCTTGCAGGCTCCAGGACCCCACTGGGAAAGGGTGGGTGCAGCCAGCAGCTCTGTGCCTCTCATCCGGTGCCCCCTTCCAGCCTAGCACTTGAGCCCACTTGCACCACTGAGGCCAGATGACAGCAGCAGCTCTACTTACAGACTCCCTGTGGAATGACACTTTCCAAAATTGTAGGGTATTGCCGACCATTTAACATTCTGCTTGGGAAACTGAGATGAGGACTGTGCTGCTGTAATGGTCTCTCTGTCTCTGTCTTTCTCCTTCTGTGTGATAGTGTAGGCTTGCGTATGTGTGTTTGTGTGTAATACGTAGGCTCACACATGCATGTATACATGGAGGTCAGAGGTCAATGTAAGATGTCTTTATCATACGTCTTGTTTTTTTACATTAAAAAATCATATTTAACCATGTTTATGTCTCTCTGTGTGCGTGCATATGAATGTGGGTGCCCAGGAAGTCCAGAGGCATCAGATCCCCTTGGAGCTGAGGTCGCAGGCAGTTGTGAGCAGCCCTGCATGGGTGCTAAGAGCTGAACTTGTTCCAAAGATGAGTAGAATACGCTCTTAACCAGTGAGCCGTCTCTGCAGCTCTACAGTTCTTATTAAACCTGGAGCTCACTGATTGGCTAGACTAGCTGGCCATGGAACTCCCACCTGGCATCTTCTGGTCCCCCTTTGGGCTTGCTGCCACGTTTACATGGCTTTCACGTGGATGCAAGGGATCCACACTCAGGCCTTCATCTTGCCCACTGCACCATCTCTGCAGCCCTGTTGGGGAAGCGATGGCCCAAGGATCACGGTAAACACGTAGAGATATGGATGAAAGAAAACCTGTACACATTTTGACAAAATCCTCATCTTTAAGGTGGTGGAAGACTAGTACTTGGTTTATATACATTTTTGCACAAGTGGGCAGAGTGATCACACACCCGCCTTGTTATGAGCTACAGGAAGAGACGGAAAATCTGCAAGACAGGATAAGTAATGGAGTATTTTCTCTGAATTTACCAAATGCAAATGTACCGGACATTGTGAATGTATTTCTTACCTGATAATTGTTCTTATTGTATGGTTTCACTGTGTTAGAATTAAAACCTTCCCCACTTTATCTGGCATTCAATCCAGATGAAGTGTTTATCTAATTATCCTTTATCAATAGAAACTCGGGAGTCAGATGTTGGGGTAAGAACCTGAATCATCAGAGAAGAATCAGAGAAGCAACTAGTGACCTCCTCTCTCTCTTCTTCCTTGACCTAAAAGGGCTGAGAATTTTCTAAGCCCCTCTCTACTACTTCCTGTATCTTCTATATGTCCTTGATCCTCTAAAACCTCTATGGCTAGTTTTGATTAGCTAGTAGCTCCATCCTCTTATCCAAAGTAAACTTTATTTTCAGTCTTAGGAGTATCAGAGTGTGCTCAAACTATCCCACATTTTACTACTGATATATTGAGGGGGGTCTTTTATTGTCTTTCCAAAACCCTTGTCATGTATGGTGCAATATTATGACTCCTTCTGTGGAAGCAGAACAGACTAAAAGTACCGAAGGTACTCACTCAAGGATACTTAGCTGGTAGGTGGGAGAGTCTGAGGCTCTATCCTTCCCCAGTGCTGCTTCTAATAATAGTTTTACAGATTCTTTCCAAATTGTCAGCTTGTAGAAATGCAGCGATTTCCCAAACATGTGTGAGTTAGTTCAAAAGCTAGTACTGTTTTATTAATACCTCTGGTAGTCCATCTATCTATACACAAATTCTACATCTTGAACAGTCTCCCCAAATGAAGAGGTGGATGCTTGTCTGTCTGGGAGAAGGCAGGCCCTCAGTCCATGGTTGGTGAACTGTCTTGTTGAACTCAGGCTAGAGCACATTCCTTTCTCTTGACACATAGCTTCCAGAACAATTAGTATTTTATAAGCATCCAAAAACACTGTGGAAGGGAACTGAATTGCCACTGGAAATGGCTACAGTGATTAAAATATTAATTCTAAACAGCAGAGGGAGCACCCCCTGCGTAAGCCAATATTTCACAGTGGTAGTCAACCTTGATGGCACGTCACAGTTTCCTGGGAATGTGGAGAACAAGCCTTGCCTGGACCTCACATCCCAGAAGCCCTGAGGGAGTAGATTTCAGGTGAGACTTAGCCACTGAAAGTTTTTAAAACTCCACCACTAGTTACAAAATACAACTAGACATAATGTACATTTTTTTATTGCTTTTGTTTTTTGATTAGTTAATTAATTTTTTGAGACAGGGTTTCTCTGTGTAGCTCTGGCTGTCCTGAAATCTCACTCTGTAGATCAGGCTGCCCTTGAACTCACAGAGATCTGCCTACTTTTACCTCCCCTGAGCTGGGATTAAAGGCATGCCCTTAAATCCTGGCACTCAAGAGGCAGAGGCAGGTGGATCTCTGTGAGTTCGAGGCCAGCCTGGTCTCAGAGTGAGTTCCAGGACAGTCTGGGCTACACAGAGAAACCTTGTCTCAAAAAACAAGCAAAACAGGAGAAGCCAATAGGACTGTTTAGATAAATTGAGGCAGCAAAAGGCAATTTGGGGTATGACAGATTTCTCCATATTCCACTCTTGCCCCCACAGGAAGTCACAGTGGAGTGGCTTCTCAAGATGTGAATATACTTGCAAGTCCAGGGGTCTTCGTTTGCTTGTGTGTGTGTGTGTGTGTGTGTGTGTGTGTGTGTGTTGAGGTGGAGCTGGCTTGCCTTTTAGCTCAGTTCTTACTAGAGCGATTACAAGCTCCAAGAGACGTGCAGAAGGGTCAGGACAGGATGGGGCTAACAGGAACTTAATAGCCCAATCACAAAACTTGAGGCTGCCCTACATCGGGCCACTTTTACTGTCCTTTAAGTCATAAAAACAGCTCCCTGTTCTCAAGTGAATGGTTTATAGGAGCTGATTTACACAAACACAGGTCTATTAACTATGAGCCCAAAAATTTTAGGAGATTTAGACATGAAAGTCGAGGAGGGGTGTGGAGCGAGTTCCCACTGAGTGGCAAGAGGGCATTCTCTCTACCGGCGAGACTGGAAGTCTTCACCGTGGAGGGCCACGCTTCCTAAACCATCGGTGCAAACCTTTCCTACCTTTGGGCTTGTGTTGGCACACGTGGCCCGGCTCATCTACCACACCGACACTTGATTACAGGACTATTTAAGTGAGAAACAACCTTCCCTCACATTTTCCAACAAAATAGTGGTTGAGGATAAGAGACAAGATTCTGTGTGTGCGTACGTGTGTGTGTGTGTGTGTGTGTGTGTGTGTGTGTGTGCATTTTGAGTATAATCTGAATATGTTTCCCACCCAGTTTTGGAGAAGATAATGGGAGGGACAGAGAGAGGTAAGGTGCAGAGGAGGGACAGAGAGAGGTAAGGTGCAGAGGAGGGACAGAGAGAGGTAAGGTGGCGGAGGAGGGACAGCCCTGTCAGGACTTTGGGAGTTGCAGTTGTAGATAAAGTCAGACCAGGTCCTGGTCCTGGGTCTCATGGCAGCCACCGGCTCTGCCACTGCAGGGGTCGTAAAGGTGTTTTATGCTTTGCCATTGCTGGCTGAGGCCTCATCGTGCCCAGGTAGTTACCATCCCCTAACAGCACAGAACAAAGTCCTGCCAGAATGATGCTCGAAATTGCCCAGCTGACCCTCACCTCTTTGATGGGATTCACTTTCGGGAGCTTGCCCAATCCCATGGGTTGGACGGAGAGCCCATCTCTGCAGTGACATTAATGTTTCTCCCCAGACCCACCAGGGAATTTTCCAATTACACACATAAAAATAAAACCCACAAACCTGACAGCAGGCAGAGAAGGTTCCAGAACTATTGCTGATACCAAAGCCTGCTTCTCATTAAAGATGAGATTTAGTGCAAAAGTTAGAAGCGGGCACTTTCTGGAGAAAAGGGGCGCTGGGAGCATCAAGCTTGCTTCTCCAGAGAGCAAGCGGCCATACCATCCATCACCGCCCACACCTGCCTCTCCTCCTCCAACACCCTGGGTCTCCCGGCACCCGCTTTACCCCCCAAGGCCATTCCTCCCTCTGTATACTTAAAGCAGGGTTTTATTTCACCTTCTTCAGATGGCCTGGGGTGGCCATCTCTAGGCCACTGTGACTCACTCTATGCTGAGTCCAGGGGACAAGGGCTCTTTCAGGATAGGAGCCCTGTCTCCAGGGCAGTCCTGATTTCAAATGTAAATTTTTTTGAATTGTTTTTATTGCTTAACGCAATAAAAATGTGGTAAAATGCTTTTTCATCTTGACTTCATAAAGGTACAAGAACAAATTAGAGGAAAACGGATCATGTATATTTTTTATCTTTATTTTTATTTAGAAACCGTGTTCTCTCGGATTCGTTATCTGACAAACGGTCTTGAGCACCGGCTCAGTCAGATACTGGCAGATGTGAGGGACAAAAAATGTCATCACCTCTGATCTTATCATGGGGTTCAGTCTAGGCAGTGTGGCCATCAACTAACGGCGTAAAAAAGCCGGTCCACTCTCAGCTGCATCCATGAAATTCAGAAGGCCCAACAGCTGTTGGGCTGTTCCCACGGCTGAGTTATGACATGCTTTTAAAGCGATTTTAAAAACTTGACTTTCGGGGTCAACTTACATATGGTTTGGGGACACGCCTTTGTAATGTCAGCACAAAGGAAGCTGGAGGTTTACAAACTGAGGTTTTTGGTTTCTTTGTTTTGTTTTGATTGTTTTTGTTTTTCTTTTTAGACTATAAGGCCAGATGAGACAAGTTTAAGGCCTTCTGGGACCTTGTTAAAGAGCTTTTGACACCTGGAGGGTCATGGGAACTACTAAATGAACAAATAAACCTGGCTTAAAATCCCAGATTTCCTATTTACGCCAAGACTGTGCAAAGTACCGAAACTCTTTTCGCCCTTACCTCCTCAGCTACAGACTATCAGTAAGTAACAGCAGGACTCCAGGCCGGGCTGGACGAGGATGGAGGAAGAGACCCAGAAAAGCATTGGACCCGTGCCTGGTACACAGCAGCTTCTCAGCGCCCACAGCCGCTCTGACATCGTACCACTGGCGAGTTTCTCTCTGAAGATTCATTATCATCACGTGTGTTGAACTGATACTCATCGCTTGGTTCTCTAGAAAAAAGAAAAGAAAAAAGCCATACAGATGGGAGCTCAATCTAAGTAACCAGCAAAATCTTGCCTGGTTTCCACTCGAGGCTGGGCAGTGCGATGGCTCCCTGTGGATAGCGGCCAGAGACAAACGTTAGCCTTCAGTGTCTCTGAATGCATGTCGCACTCAATCTCCCCACCAACACGTACGGGGAAAGGGAGAACTCTTAGGAGCCCTCACCATGTCCAGAAACAGAACTATATATGCAAGCAGAGAAGAGATACCAGTCTGAGAAAACCTAACTAGTCCGTTGGCTTCCGGGTATTAAAAAAAAAAAAAATGGAGAAGCCGGGCAGTGGTGGCGCACGCCTTTAATCCCAGCACTCGGGAGGCAAAGGCAGGTGGATCTCTGTGAGTTCGAGGCCAGCCTGGTCTGCAGAGTGAGTTCCAGGACAGCCAGGACTATTATACAAAGAAGCCCTATCTAAAAAAAAAAAAAAAAAAAAAAAAAAAAAAAAAAAAAAAAAAAAAAAAAAAAAAAAAAAAAAAAAAAAAAAAAAAAAAAAAAAAATAAAAATAAAAAATAAAAATAAATGAAGAAAATTTCAAGAATGTTTAGAGATATTTTCTCTCCACAATATTCATAACAGAAAAAAATATTTTTATACTGGTCCTTCCATCTTATTTTGGATCTGCACTTCGGATTTGAAGTTTTTAGGGAGGGTGAGTGAGCCTCCATCTGCCTGTGAGACAGTGCCATCTAGTGTCCCTTGCGAACATTACAGCGGGTCGAGAGCTCCCGTCAGGTTTCATTTAGCAAACCTGTGGGCTTCCTTTCACCAGTGAGCTCACTGATTACACCAGCCGTCAATTCCAGACCCACAAATGAGAGTTGCTCTTCCCTAGGTATGAAAGACACAAACGGATCATAACAAAGCCATAAAAAATTTGCACTGATAAAGTATTTTAATATTAGTAGAGAAAAATCCAGCCATTTAATTGGGTAACAGTAGAAGCTGATACTGTGGTCTGGGAGGAACGCACATACTGTGTTTAACAGCAACAACAAGCAATACTGAGGACATACTATGTGTTATCCCCCCAGAGGTCACATACTGCTGGGCTTCTGTAACTAAAGGTTACTTAGCTCTGAATGTGGTGTGTGTGTGTGTGTGTGTCTGCGGGTGCACAACCAAGGATGAACCCAAGGTCAACTGCATAATGAGCTGGAGGAGTTTGCGGTGCTCATCCAAGCTGCACGAGCACACGTGTGCACAAGTGAGTGTGTCACGCTGCAGCAGCCGCTCCCACTGCTCGAGACACATTGGCTCAGACTCCAGGATGGAATGTTACGGAGCTACAGTGTTTCACTCTACACAAAAGCTCCGCGATGAAAAATGAGTATTTACTACTGCCGTGCTCTGCTGGCAAGTGCCGAAATTTTCATCTTAAATTTCTTTTTTTAAATTTCATTTTAGTTCTTGTTTGTTTTTGTTTTGTATTTTGAGACTATATATTCTTGGCTGGCTTGGAACTCAGAGATCCGCTTGTAAAGCACGATTAATAAAAACTCAGAGACAGAAATTGAAGGTCAACCTGAAGGTCAGAAAAGCAAAGCAGCCAGCCACTGGCTCTTACCTCCACCTCAGTTCAAAATGGCAATCCTGCCTCTAGGAATCTCAGAATGAGACTGACCGAGAGCTGTCTCCTCCCGTTTTATAATCCTCTCTAAGGCTGGGATTAGAGACCTGCACCAATACCGCCTGGTTTCTACGGAAGCTGGTGTGGCTGTTGGGATTAAAGGCGTGTGTCATCGCTGCCCGGTCTGTAAGGCTGGCCAGTGTGGTGTTTTACTTTCTGATCCTCAGGCAAGCTTTATTTATTAAAATACAAAAGAAACACCACTACTCACTTGCCTTTGTCTCCCAAGGGCAGATTAAAGGCCTGTGGCACCACCACACTTGGCTGTTAGAATTTTTTATTTGAGTTTCGTAAAATGGTAGTGACTTGGCTTCAGGACAGAATTCCCAATGATGTTTTCAATGTCCCAGGACATATTTCTGCCATTTTTGTGCTGTTTATACAAGGCAGTATTCTCAGCACTACAGTTATAAAATCAAAGTATCACTCAACTCTGAAAAACACTGAAGATGCTCTACGCCCTGCCGCATCAAATCCGCTATCATACTCAAGTCTTTATGTAAGAACAAACAAGCACACCCATCTCATTAATACGCAAATCCACTCTTCTGAAATAAGTGGTAGAAGTATATGTATACCAAAGAATTGCTTTAAATAAAGATATGATTTATTTTCAACAACTGTTTGGTTTATCTATTTTATATTCCCGTATTGTAAGGGCTGCATAAAAACGTTTCTGTTGCAAAGAGAATTTCCTTTCTGTCATGAGAGAACTACAAGAAAGGTAGAGTCATGGGGGGACAGAATTTGGGTCCCCACGTGACCACGTGGAGCAGAGTCGCCCTGCAGCCTCGACCCACATTTGACGCACCCGAGAAGCGAGGTTCTACTGTATTGAGCCTCTCCATGCAGAGGTTGCTCGTGGCAGCAGTGGGCCCACTCGGTCTGATAACCCTCTGGAATAGTCCTCTTGAGATAATAAATATTACTTTCTCTGTAAAGAAAAGCCTTGCACGGCGGAATGAAGAATGACAGACTCGCTTTTACAATTGGTTCATACTGCGCCGGACAATATTTATTTACATTTATATATTATTTATTGGGGAGTGCACATGCCACAGCGCTCGTGTGGAGGTCAGAAGACAACTTTTGGAAGCTGGCGCTCTCCTTCTGCCGCATGGGTCTCAGGGGTTGAACTCGGACCATCAGGCTCGACCGCACGCGCCTTGGCCAGCGGAGTCATCGCACCAGCCTCTACGGGACAGTCTTTATTAAATCGGAGAGAAAGCAGGAGGATCCTGCTGAGGCTCCCACGGAAGTCTAAAGAGCAAGTTCCGTGAAAGAACACTGAATCTCGTCTCCAAGATCTATTTTTAGGATCCCTCACATCTGATCCTGACTCAGTTAAGTAGGTGATAGTTGACTCCACTGCTGACAGTGGCACACTCATGCGCAGAGAGGACGGGGCACAGAACACAACGGGCAGCCGAGCCCAGACTGACACAGGGAGCAGGCGAGGTTATGAAGGAAACCAACCTTCCTGGTCATTCTCCTGACGGTGTGTGATGTACTTCCTTCCACTCTGTGTCATCAGCCCCCCCCCCCCCCCCCCCCCCCCCCCCCCCCCCCCCGGGAATGCACATAACTCCTATTTTATAACTCTCCAGTTTTAAAGCCTTTATTGTTTTCTCGTTGTTCTGACTGCAAGATACATAATACCCAGTACGGGAATACCCAGTACCGGTCAGTCACAAGGGACTGAGCATCTGTCTGCTCTGTCCTCTGGTAAGGAGTTTTAGGCCCTTGTCATGTTGGGTTAGAACACACCCAAGAAAGCCAGAAGAACTCACAGAAAGATGCCTCAGCCCCATTAGCACACAGGAAATTGGTTCAATGAAATTTAAATACAGTAACATTTTTTAAAATTCAGCAAAAACTGGGTATTGGTGCTCTTGGAGGCAGAAGGAGCAGAAGTTCAAGGTCATCCCCAGCTACATTTAAGTTTGTGGCTAGCTTGGGTTACATGAGGTCTTGTCTCAAATATGCCCCCCACACACATACAGGCACACATATATTCAGCAACATTATATTAACATTTATCTGAAATAATAGTGGAGAATAATTAAGGAATTTTAGTAGGAAAGAACAGTGAAAAAAGCTTTTCCTTACTGCATAAATTAATAAAGCATATTAAAAGGCAATTACAATAATGTAGGGATAGCTGAAAGTAAATACGCATATCAATGCAACGTAAAATATGTCTCTAAATGGACCCTAAGATACTTAAAACACTGGGGACATATATCTATTTTTTTGGCTGCGAGCCTTTGCCTTTAACAGCTAAGCCATCTATCCAGCCTAGAACATATATTTATTAAAACAAAACAAAACAAAACAGACAAACAAAAAACAAATCAGGGCTGGCCGTGTAGTTCAGTTGGCGGAATGCTTGCCCAATGGTACATGCCTATCAACCCAGTATTTCAGAGAAATGAAGATCATGAGTTCAAGGTCATCCTTAGCTACACTTAGAGTTCAAAGGCGGCCTGGGCTAAATGAGATCTGCTAGGAAAACCTGGTGTAGTGGTACAGGGTTGTAACACCAGCTACTTGGGAGGCAGAGGCAGGAGGATCAGGATTTTGAGGCCCCACTGCTGCTACATAGTAAGCAAGCCTAATCTGGGCTATATGTCTCAAGCCAAAATAGCAAATGCCAGTGGAGGGATGGAGTTTGAGACCAATGTTACTTTTAAAGATGGTTCACTGCATTGGGGAAAAGCTTTCTTATTTCTATCATTTAACAAAGTAACTCCTGCTGGGCAGTGGTGATGCGGTACATGTAAATCCCAGTAAACCCAAAAATCAAAAACCAAGTCAAAACAAAAAACCAAAAATAAAATTACTCCCAGCTATGTAAAGAGGTTGAAGTAGAAGCATTGGCCTGGCAGGATGACTAAGCAGGTAAAGGCCTGACCACCTGAATCAACCCCTCCCCCACATCCCACTGAGGAAGGAGAATGACTTTAGTAAGTTTCTGATGTACACATACACAACAATAATAAAGTAGAATCATAGAGAGTAGAAAATGGGCTAAATATAGCCCAGAAGTAGGGCACTGGCCTAGCATATGTGAATACTTGGGTATAAAAAATGAAAAAGAATAGAAAAATCTTGTGTCAGGAGTAATGGTTCACACCTCCAATCCCAGTACAGGGGAGTGATGGTTCACACCTCCAATCCCAGCACAGGGTTCACACCTCCAATCCCAGCACAGAGGAGTAATGGTTCACACCTCCAATCCCAGCACAGGGGAGTGATGGTTCACACCTCCAATCCCAGCACAGGGGAGTGATGGTTCACACCTCCAATCCCAGCACAGGGTTCACACCTCCAATCCCAGCACATGGGAGGCAGAGGCAGGAGAGTCAGGAGCTGAAAGACATTTTCGGCTCCATAGTACCTTCAAACCAGCCTGTGCTGTGACGTGAGACCCTGTCGAAGAAAAGAAAGGGAGAAAGAGAGGAAAGAAAGGAGGGAGGGAGGGAGGGAGGGAGGAAGGGAGGGAGGGAGGAAGGGAGGGAGGGAAGAAGAAAGGGAAAGGAAAATAATACACAATGGTGGTTGTAAATTCTGAGTGAGGGGAGAGAATTTTCTAGCCATAAAATTGATGCAAGAGCTGGGTGGTGATGGTGACCACCTTTAATTTCAGGAGGCAGAGGTTGGCAGATGTCTGTGAGTTCAAGGACAGCCTGGTCTACAGATTGAGTTCAAAGACAGGCTCACAAAAACAACAACAACAACATGATGCAAGAAAACAGCAAAATAAGATATCAATTAATTTTG